CGTGCCGCTCGCTGCGCACCGTCCGTAGCTCTGTGTGCGGTATAAAAGCAATCCACACGCGTGATATATTATGCAGTCTCGCTAAGTGGAGCCCGGAGATGCCAGGCGGAAGAGGAGACGGGGGTGAGAGGAAGAGGGAACGAGCGTGAAGAACGAGCGGGACGACGTCGCGCGTTGAGCGAGTGCATGCCACGGTATGAGAAAGAAAAAGAGAAAGAAACACATGGGGAAGGGCAGGGGGAGGAGAGCGAAAGCGCGAAAGCGCAGAAAGAAGAGGGCGAGGTTACTCAAAACGAGCGGCTGTATTAAGTGCGCCTATAGATTACGGCGCCGGGAAAAGTAGAGGCACATCGCGCTAAAACGCCTCGGGGAAAAAAAATTACCGTACGGGCCCCCGTACGTCATCCTCGCGGCCTCGCCTGTTTCTCTCTCTCTCTCTATCTCTCTCTCTCTCTCTCTCTCTCTCTCTCTCTCTCTCCTCTCGCATACATGCGAGAGTGTGGATCATTTCTAGCCAAGAGCGTGGGATGCGCGTTTTTCACGGTGAAGAACACTTCGTCGGCGCCTTTTTCTTTTCGATCTGATGACAGGCACCGTCTCTCTTTCTCTCTTCCGCCTCGATCCGTCCTCGATCACCATGGAGAATGCGTCGGGGGATAGAAGTATAATTCACGATTTATATACATCATACACTGTCCCGGTTACCGCAATATTTTTTTTTCTTTTTTTTTCTCTGAGGACGATACCGCTCTCTAACGATTTTAAAATTAATCCTTTTCGGGAAGAAATGGAGAAGAATTCTAATCGAATAAGTTTCATTATATAGAAACATTATATTGAAAAACTTCCTAGATTTGTGAATTTTTATTTCGCGTGGAAATATTTTGCAAAGTTGAAATAAATCACTTTACACTTACATAAAAAATTAAGCCAAATGCAGACCACAAAATAACTATGGGATTGTACAGTTGGATTATACGTATGTGTATACAAGATCACTCGTAGGCATTAATAATAATGCTGCAAAAAGTTTGACAATTTAGCAATCAATTTGAACATCTGTATCATTATTCATATGGTATTTGTTTATCCAACGTAATTCTTCAGATTCGTATTTAACTAAACTTTTTAGATACGCTTCAGCAAAAAGCGGTTCTTATCGGTGGTGGATTATTCTAGTGAATAAGAGGGTCTAATGAATTCCACACATCGCAATACAGTAAGTACATATGTCACAAAAAAATGTTATCTTTATTAATACGAGTGATATATTACACATGTAATATATTAGCTTATACTCATTTGTTTACGTGTTTTGTATATTACGTACGCCAAATATATGCGCGTCGAGATACACGCGCATGGCACTCGTAACGTGTTCGTTAATATCTGAACTCTACTTTCTTCTCGCGATAAAATAGTCGTGTGCTCTACGTACAATTCCTACGAGCGCTTTAATTAACGCAACTAGCATTCTCCTAATATATTCACGCAAGACGACCAAGATCAATTGGGGACGTGACAATAACAAATAGAAACGCCATAATTTCGTAACAATAAGAATAAAATTAGTAGCTTCGCCATTTGTGTCGATCATCTTCTCTGGCGATTGAAAATGTGTTAAATTTTTCTCCAGCAAGAAATTCATCGAGATTGTCCGATTATCGATTACATCCCCATTTGAACCTGGTCGAGTTCGTGAAAACGAAATTGCACGAATCTATGTACATGACTGCCTTTTTGGAACGCCATTTCTATCGTTCGATCACGATGAATCTTCCAATACGTATGAGAAGTTGTCGTTGTGAAACGCGAGAAGGTACATAAGTACGGATCGTATTTGAGTTAACAGGACCATCTCGCAGAGACGTATTTCCCGCGGGAGCGTGCATTTATTGTAAAGGATCATTTTTAAATCTACAATCGCGTATGCGCATTTATATGTAAGAGCCACCGTAGAAAAATACTGCTTCTCTTTCGTTTCTCGAACACGAGCTGCGCTCGCGAGAACAGCACCCGGCAAAAGCGACGCTAAAATACTAGCTTACTAAACATCGTGATTTAATTTTTAGCTACTAGCTGTCGGTATCTATATTATGTGCCCGATGAATACACTCCCAATATTCGAATAAATGAATTCTTTTAGAATGATTTGTTTCACTCTAAAAAGTGACATTTCACTCTCAAAGATTAAAAATTGAGCTACTCTTTTTCAAGACTGGCTCAATTTTCATAAAGAAATTCAGAGAGAATGAATAATGAATATGAATAGAGTATGAATATACTCTTTTTTTAGTATTCATCGTGAAATAAATAAATAATGTTCATTCGATTCCAATAAATATTTTTGTGAATATGATTACAAATATTTTTGCGAATGTGATTACAAATATTTTTTATTTCGTATTTATTCCTGCTCTGCATTATTTGCACATAGCTTGTAAGCATAGAGTAAAAAGAAATCAGTAAAAACAACGAAACCGGCAAAGAAATAATATTTAAACTTATACGTCCTTATAAGTCCTTTTTTAAATTACATAAAGTTATTCACACGTTCCTGTTGCATCTAATTCCCCAATTAATATTATGTTCAAGAAAACCATATTCGCGTAAAAAAAAAATATAAAAAGAATAATGTACGCATAACGGAACCATCATTATAATAATTGTTTCTTTTTCTACATTCAATTAAAGATTACAAATTTTATAAAAATAAGATTTAACAATATTATTTAATCGCTTAGAATCATCGAAATGTTGATTATAGATAAAGAATAAAAATTGTAGAGGCTTCATTTTTTTTAGTTTACATTTTGTTTGAATACTTTGATTATTTTATATGCGAATACTTGTAAAATAATCACAATATTTTCATGAATAAATATTCTTATAAATTCAAAATGTTGAATAAATATAGAAATATTTTTATAATGTGAAAATTTTAAATAAATATAATTTGTAGCCCAATTTTATACAAATTTTGCATATTCATTTTCGTATTCATTAGACACACTAATAGATGAGACATCGATCTTGTGCGAAAGTTTCACCAATATTTTTTGTATTCCTAGTAAAAATCTAAGTTTATCCGGACGGCGAAAGTTCCGCAGGAAACTAATAAATATATTATAATCACATATTTCTATCATCATTATCGGTATATGTTTTATTTAAGGTCGAACGCATGAGATATTTATGATTCTCGTTTTCATTCGACGCTACATATTATTATTAATATTATATATTTGTGAATATTATATTATATACGTGTGTATGTATACTCAAAAAATTAATGTAATTAAAGCAAGGCAATATTTTCTATCAAATCATAAATATGAAAACACTTTTCTTTTAATATTTAAAAATTTATTTTGGACCCAACATCTTATTACACATTTATTAATATCGGGAAATTTCATGGACGACTTAGAGTTAAATCATCTCTATAAACAAAATATAAAATATACAAAGGAGAAAGAAAGAGATTAGGATAAGGCATCTAAAAGTCAAAGATTACAAAGACAACGAATCATATTTACAATTGGAAGCTTTTTCAAAAAAACCGATAAGAAATGAAATTCAAATTGAAGTTTGATGGAAAATACTGCCGAACTTGCGTTTTTCGGGAGATATACGCCATTAGTATAATACTTAAATATAAATTGCATTGGCAGGACATTGCACGAATGCATCTGTTGCAGCCACGAAAACTCGTACCATCTACTCTCTCTCTCTCTCTCTCTCTCTCTCTCTCTCTCTCTCTAAATAAATAACATAATCAACTATTCTTTACCTGTCGTTCGAACGATAAATATTTCCTAAATTCGATTCTTTTATCAGGAAACCCTTGAAAATGTTATTCGCATAATGAGCGCGCAACGCGTGTGCGCGTAAATTCAAGTTCAATAAAAACTTTATACCGGTTAATAGTTTACGAGCAGAGTTTACGTGGCTAACATACGCACAAATATTTTCCTACTTCTATATCGAGCCGTGCCACGCGACGATTACTATATCAAAGGCCTATTTGAAGACACATCTTTGCACGACAGATTGGCACGCGTGGGAACGGACGGTAAAAAATACAGTACGAGATACACAGATTGCAAATATAAAGATCTGCTAATATTAAAAGGACTAGATTCACGGATAATAATCCGTGCATTTCGTTCGATTACTCCTCGTCGTTGCGTATCCTCTATTATGTATCTCTAATGCTCTTATTACATTGACGGAAGCCAAATTTGTGTATGAAATAATCCTAGAATTTAGAACGATAGAATACTTACGCGCATCGCTTTTCCTCATATCGGAACAAAATAAAGGAAATTTATTAAGTTCCTTTTAATTTATACTTTTTTAATTTATCGAACATACGTAAAAATATATTATTCAAGATGATAATTCACGAATGCGATAAATTCGATCGAAAACTTACCTAAGTCTAGCCTAAAGAATTTTAGGGAGCGATCATTTCGTGATGTTTCCTGTCGTCGTTCGTTCAGCGAGGCGACAGGTAATATCGACTATAAGTCTCTAATGCACAGGAATAAATTATTCCGCGTTACGTACAACAAAACAACAGTCCTCAACTAAGCGATTATTCGGAAATGTTAATCATAACTTTGTTCCTCCTTCAAATTTGACAAAACGCGCGCTTGCATATCTTCTCTTTTTTCTTCTGGCATCTCGACTGAAGTATCGCTACAGTTGAATCCTAGTATTTCCCGTAACATATCTCAAACAATTTTATAATACGCGTACTTTGTAGAGCATTGTACGGTAGAGGATTAAAGCAATCCGGTATTGATAAAAAAAAAATATTTTAGTTGAAAAATCCAGAATGATGATACTAGGATGCTTTGTAGAAGCGAAACGATGCATACCGCAAGTTTGTAAAGCAGAATATGCATGCGTGTTCCATCAGTATGTCGCAGACGTAAATAGGCGACCGAAATGGTTCGGGAAGCACTAGTCTAAATTAAAATACATGTACTTTCGTCTTGTTCGCGTTACTTCTGAGTAAATTTAACTCTCAAATTGACTTTCATTCCCGAGGACGAGACGTGCACGTATATATATATATTCACTTGGAAAGAAATTACCGTTATCGAGATTCAATCTCTAATCGTGCGACAATGGGATACAAGCAGCTGTGAATTGCAATCCGATGCAGTCTCTCAATCTTTACTTTTCTCTTTATTTCGTCGAAGAAGCGGTTATTCGGTATAACGATCCTATCAATAATTCCATTAATGATACGCGCAAACTATAATGTCTAATGATGCTTAATAAGCTCTAAGAAACAAAATTAAACTAATCAAACCTTTAGTGGAATCTACTAAACGTAGTCAACGACTAGGCGGTATCCTTCAGCAAACGCACTAAAGGATTTAATTTACCTTCATCCGAATTTCTGTACTGCTCCAGCAACTGCAAAGCAAATCAGCAAATTTATTCTTTAAGCATTATTATACATAGTGTAATGTATTAATTAATAACTATTCAACAACAAAAATGCATAAGAACAAAAATAATTGCTTCTCATAGTTTTAGGCGTTTAATACAAAAGTGCTCTATTATATTACAATTTTAAGAAATTTGTGGTTAAAGTTGCAAGAAAGGTTTATTTTATTGTAGTACTTTTAAATATATTATAATTACGTGTGATTGAGGAAGTTTTATTATCATTAAAATTACGTACGTTAGAATTTTTAACTCTTAAGGAATTTGTTCTCTTGGTTATAGATAAACAAATATTTATGATTGATATATAAGATCTACTGCGTCAAAGTGTTACGACTTATATAAGTTGTTAAAAATCTTTATCAAAGATCTGGACAATTGTCCTCGTTTTTTTTTTCAAATTAAAAAAAATTTTAAATAATGTAATAGATTAGAAGAAAAACATTCATATATTAGAGAGAAAATAATTATTAATTCTATTATTATGATTAAATATAATTATAAATTAAAGCAGATTGGGAGTGAATATTAAAATATATAAAATATATAAATTATTAATCACACAATCACGACTAATTTAAGATAATGCACCCATCGAATAAAGAAAATTCTTAAAACGTCTGAAAGTTTATGTTTTGCAAAATAGGTACATGTAAAAGATTGATCAAACACGCGACACAGAATCAACTTAGTTATTACACGTTAAAATTATGAATATTTATGCACGCATATTAACATTTATATTAATACGTTAAATGTGGTTGACGGTAATTGGCGCTATGACGCTGATACGTCTCACCGATTCATGTACAAAATGCAATCGACTGCAGAGATTGGCGAGTACCATCAATAGAAAAAAGTTTTTTCCCAACGGAACTCGTTGAGGATTTTTGTATTAACAGGGTTGTTTACTGAAATCTTGCAAAAATATCTCTGAGAATTTCCGGATTTCCAGGTATTTGTATTCAAAATTCCAAGTAAGATTAAAATAATTTTAATGCAACTTTGAAATAAATTGGAATATGAACAATGTAAGCAACTCTTATGTTGAAAAGTAATAGAAGATAGATTCCACGGGATTATATCTATATATTTTTTACAATCGGAATAGTCGAACCTATAGGATAATATAAGAAAGGCAAACTACAATATAGTATCAATACTATCAGTAAGCTCTCTCCTGCGAAGTATATACTTTTTGTCACTGATTTTTTACATAAAAACTCGCGAGAATGTATGTACGTGAATATACATTGCAAGCTATATTTATTGCTAACATTTTGCATTATTAAGAAAAAATGATCAAAAAAAACAATGTTTTCAGGAAGAAACAGAATTAAAATTTAAAAGTAAAGTCTCCTGAGTATTTCCCCTCCCCCCCCCCTCTTCCCCGATAAAATTCCATAAAAGTTATTTTCAAAAGTAAAAAGGAAATTTTCTGAAAATTTCAGATTTTTCCAAGCAGTAAACACCCTGATTAATGATAATGATTCGTTCAATGTTCACGAGATTTACATCAATACAAGAATTAGGTATGTGTGACAGCGAGTTTCGTCCATAATCACCTACTTACCTCGTACGACATTTCGCAAGACAATATCGCCATTGCTTCCGAATTGTGATGGGTAGCGGCGAGAAGTGCCGGTAACGTGTACGGTATCAGTCTGGGATCTCCGTAAAACGGGAACGGCAGGGTGCACAGCTGCTGAAGGACGCTGGGGCCCGCGCCAGCCGATTGGAGAATCAGCTGGAACAGATTTCCCAATGGCAGACGTTATTCTTCGGCTATAATTTTATTTTCTCTAGCTTTTCCAGCAATTCCGCGATGCCCGTGAAGAAAGAGAGATAAGTCAGCGCGGACAACGGCTGGGAGTTTATTGAAAAGAAAACTGCCTCCACGAGAGAGCTATTGTTTCCGTATCATGATCTTTTTCTCATCCGTTCGTAGATATTATCTCGAATTTTCGCTATTATACGGTAAACTGTATCGATTTGAATATAAATTCTTAATACTTCGCCGACAGGGATGTGTCGATGCTCTGGTCAATAGTATTGGATAAATCCAGACACGCGCACAAATAAAAAAACGCCTTTAAAAACCATTGTAATTTTAAAGCGTGTATTCGTAAACTCTTGAAAAAGGCATCATTTTGCGTAACAGATATAAATAGCGTAATTAGCCTACACTATATGGCCATATGGAATATTTTTCTCTTTACAAGGAATCAGTCTTCGCGGGCGGAATCTCTCGAGTAATCGGTCAAGTAGACGGAGATCGATATACCGGACGAAGATTTCCTTCTTGCAATTGCAAATTACCCGCATGGGCACGTTCGACCGGAGTTGTTCAATTGCGAACGGTTAATTAAAGCAGCAGAGTAATTTTCTTAAAGAGCGTGAGAACTTGAATGACCCAGGTGTCACCTGCGGAAGCGAGTCTTTAGCGCAAGGAGATCGAACCGGACATCTGCGTCTGGTGACAAGTGCTTCTGTGAACAGGACGTCGTATTCCTGTGCACCTGCATAAAACTCTCTTACAGGAAATGCCCACATTTTACGCATCCTTGTCTTCTTCGGCGTCAAGGTAGCCCGTATCGCGCCTCGTGTGGGTTAAATATCGGTCCGTTACGGTGTCCATAACTTCATACCTGACGTAACGTAACTCGGTAAATGATTGATTCGCGATAAAATCAGTCATTTCGAGAGAAATATGAGTTCTCATCATAAAAATAGATTCCATCCTGACACATGTCCGATGAAAGTAGCCTCGTCAATCCTACGGAAGGTTACTCAACGCATTACGAATTATGGCTAAAGCAAGATCCCCGTACAGAGAGTTTCCAAGTTCCTTATATAATGGGACAACGTATCGCGATTAACGGTGTACAGCGGCACGCGTGTGATCCCGAGATGACTAGTTAACGCCAGGTCCGGGTTTAAAATAAATAAACGGAAAGCGGTAACGCGCGCTCAACCATGGCGCCACCGCAAAAAAAATCCATTTCTCGAATTCGGTTACGACTGTCGACAAAAAACGGAGACGGGCGTGTTTATGATCGCGAACGGAGAAGGTGATACCGTTGTACCGGGTAGGCGATAACCCTGGCTGCCGCAGATGCTTCGTAGAAACTTAAAAGCGTCTCGTTTCTCCCTTTCTCTCCTTTCCTGTCTTTCTGTTTTATACACGACGCAGGCACGTACACTTTCTCTCTTTCTCGCTTTCTTCCCTTCTTTCTCTCATCTTGCGGAAAACGATTTTTCCAAGGCAGCTACTCTTGGAGAGTCGACTCTCACTCTTGAGAGCGGCGACCTTAAAAAAGCGCTGAAAGACGAATGCGCGACATCGGCGGTGCACTCAGCGTTTACATTCCGATTCACGTGTCCATGAGATCAACGCGGACGTAGTCTCAGACAACGTGCAAACGATGATGTTAAACTGTAGTTACTTCGCGAGAAAATTAAGAAATAAATTAAGAAAAATTAAGAACTCTCCTTAAATTGAGAAATCTCCTTAATCAAGCAGTAAACTCGTTCACAAAGAGGTGCCCTGAACGATTTTCGTATTAATAATACTCTGGAAGTGAATATTTCAGCGTTATAATTAAATCTTGATAATTAATAATAGCCTATATCAAATGTTTTCTATTCTGGAATATATAACCACACATGATATCACAATTCTATTCGAGAATAGTACTTGATTGAGATATATTAATTATTTCGTTATAAATGATTATTTTATATTATAATAATCTCTAATGGAGAGAAAAGAGAGTGTTGTAGCAGAGATATGTATATAGATACGAACACACACTTAAACACATAGAAAAATATCATTCCATTGTTAAGAAAAGTGACTCAATTTATTTTCTTTCTTCCATTGCTAAGAAAAGTACTCAATTTATTTTCTTCTTTTTAAATAACAGTTTATTTTTAGCAAAGAATATTTTGATAATAATCTTAAAATATGCTTATTATAAATTTTAGAAAAATTCATTATTATTTATTCAAACTAACAATTGATTTTTTTTTTAAAGAATATTATAAAATTCATCGAAGAAACAACTTGATATATAATAAGCAAATCTTACTTTAAAATATATTTTGAATAAATTTGATGCTTGTGATTTGGACTTATAATAGATTTGCGGATAGATGAATTATTAAAATACTTGAAAGAAGTATTGATTACTTACGTACAGTATGTTTTTTTTTTTCTGTCACATATATTCTATCACGTAGATAACTAAAAATCTATTAAATTATTAATAAATATATTTACAGAGAGGGACTCTAAAATATATTGTTAAATATTCAAAAGTATTTAGTATAAGTACGTGATAAATATATTTTCAAGTTATTTTTATTACTCGATACTAGCCATACTACTACTTTTATAAATATATGCTTTATTTATTATTTTTTAATTAAATTATTTTTTAAGAAAAACCTTCCTGCATTTCGCAACGTTTACATTTCAATTGACACACACAAATATTCGTATTTTATCCCTTTAATTAATTTCACGCTTGGACTTCTTTCGTTTTCCGCGTCGCAATTATAAATGCTATGAATTTTTCGCGTCGTTTTGCGAGCTGATGGACCATTACATATTGTGCGCGTACACACGTGCCCTGGAGCGCACGGAATGGTACGCCGTAAATATATCTTAACGGCGTTCGGCCGTATATTGATGGGAGGTCTGCTGAGTGTGTTGTGTCTAACAGCCTCTTCCTTCTTCTCGCCAGTAACGCACTGTGCACGCCATCCAGCGCGTACGTTTCTCATAGTAAAGTAACGGGTGACTCGAAACATTGTAGTTAACAGTCTTAGCCGATTCGAGGAATTTAAAGCTGTGCACTATATGTGCACTATTCACTGTAAACAGTGAAGTATCAAAACCAAACGAATATGCTCAGCAATAATAAAAATTAATAATGTCAGAATTAATCTTTAACTCTATTTTTATTTTTTTGGGAGAATAAGAGAAAGAGACAGAGAGAAAGAAATGAAGAGTTTTAAGCTCAAAAAGACGATTTTTAAAACTATAAACGGACTTATTAAGACAAAAAAGGAGGATTTGACAGCAAATTCAGATTCTACGCAAATGAACGTACGGATACACTTAACTTGTTTCGCTAGAAAGGCCCCTTCGAATTCTGAGGTATTCGATTGCATAAACTGCCATATGGGACGTACCTGATTGTCCGGATTGTTAAGGGAGAAATACCCGAGCACCACAAACAATTCCGAGAGGATGTGAATACCGCTCGTATTCGGCATAGAGCCCACCTCCGACTTGTCCGACAAAGAGTCGCGGGACAGTCGAGTTATTAGATGACTCGCTATCAGTCGCCATTGCAGGCTCGTGCCCTCGGCGCCTAAGAAGCTCTGTAACAGAAAGTTTTCCGTTTGTAAAAAGAAGTTATGTACATCAATTAATATTTTTATAAACTCCTTTCGATCGGACAAAAGCTCTTGTAAGCTCACGTACAAATTCGATGTAGATATTGCAATGTTCTTAATAATATCGATATATTCCGCTTTCTTTCATCCTGAATTTCCTCCACAAGGTGGACGCTCAAAGGTTGAAATTAGAAACCCTATAGAATCTAACCACGAGCGATTTTGTTTCAAAATTCTACAAGAAAGAAATGTATGTACACTAGATACAAAAGAAGCAATGGTAACTCAATCCCTTAAGTTAAATAACATTTTATTTTTGACTTTCACGTGTGTCAAAATGTAAATTAATCCATTTCTGTGGTTATAGTTTCAAAATACATATCGTCCATATTAATGTATACACTTAGTAGATAATAAACTAAATTCGAGTCAAATTTAATATATTTTCTCGAGTTAAATTGTTTAACTCCATTGTTTTAGTCAAATTAACGACATACTGGGCTATGAGCAGTGGTTGAAATAGAAATGATTAAAAATCTCTTCAAATATAATTTGACATTATGAATTTAACAGTGTATAATTTCTTCTTCTATGTATACCACGTCACTCTAACTTACTGTT